TTATTTCTCACATTTTAATGGAATTATCAAGCCCGCTGTGTCACGAAATGTGATTATTTTTTTCATATTCAGGGAATGACGGTGTCGTTATTTTGAGATAGTGAAAATTGTTCTTTAGTTTCCTTTTCGTTTTAAAAATTTAAGTTCCAGCAAGCGAATTAATAAAGCGCTTAAATGAAATTAATTATTCTTTCTCCCACTTTTTAATAAACGCAGAATAAGCTTGGATTTGTTACTTCATGTTTTATCTCTCTTTATTGAATGACAAATGTCATTTTATCACTCAAATGACATTTGGAACAAAACACGAAGTCAAAGCTTATTCCGCGTTTATTACTAAAGGTGTCTAAGATTATTCTATAAAATAAAATGAGGGGATTTGTGTGACTTAGCATTTAAATAGATAAATAAAATAAATATTTCCAACACTCACACCAATTAGCCCAGCCCCAAAGTAAGCACTGTAAGGCTTGTGTTATGGGATGCTAGGGTAATGGATAGAATACATATACTGTACATATATACGTATATTTATATAGAAATAGATATTAAACATCCATGACTGGAGTACAAATGCTCGTATTCATCACACAAACATCTGCCCCCACCGGGATTCGAACCCGGAACCTCTCGAGTCGGCGACACCATGAAACCCGGCGTTCAAACCACCCGGCCACGGAGGTCGTCAAATTTGAGACTGATCTAGGAAATGAATCTTAAGAAACATAGGGTATAGCGGAATTTCCGCTCGAATAGGAGCGCCCGCCCATCTGAGGAAGTAATCATAATCAAAATCATTTATTCAGTTTAGGCTGTTACAATCACTTATGAATGTCTCGAAGCTACGCCATCGGTTCGCAAATCTACGGCGGGAGACCTTGTACTGAGAAGAACTGGCAAGAAACTCAGCAAGGACTGATTTTTTCTCCCAGTTTTATTATTTACAGAGTCGTCAAGCGGAAAAATGACTTCAGAAATGATTAATGAAAGTAACCTCCTTCTACAGAAGACAGTGAAATAACACAAACTTTTGGTGGTGTTGTGTTTCTGTCGGTGAGTGAGGTTTCCGGGCTCCACCAGGTAGGGGATTGGGTCAGAGTATGCTGGGGGCGTTCCAGTGAAGTGGCGCAGACAAAGGTGCGCCAATCCTGAAACGCTCCCACATGGGCGTAGGAGGGTACCGGTGGGTTTAAGTGGGTAGGACCTTTCTATATATAATAATGTACTCTATGGTAGGACCGGCGTTGTTCCGCACCCGGGAGTCTAACGGTACGGTCCGTAAATGGATTTCCCATCGACAAAAAAAAAGGGTCAGGGTATGCTACGACACGAGTGATGTTTTTGGTTTGGCAAGCGTATACAGGTTATGGTGACCGCTTACCATTAGACAGGCCATATGCTTATTCGACATCCTAATAACATAAAAAAGCGAGTGTGCTTATGACGACACGACTGAAGTGAAATTTGTTTAAAAAAAATCAAAATTCAATATCGTTTATTCAGTCTAGTCTGTTACAATCACTTATGAATGTCTCGAAGCTACGCCATCGGTTCGCAAATCTACGGCGGGAGACCTTGTACTGAGAAGAACCGGCAAGAAACTCAGCAAGGACTGTTTTTTTCTCCCTGTTATATTATTTACAGCGTCGTCAAGCTGAAAAATGACTTCAATATGAGATAACTCATGAAGTCACTTTCCATTACTCTAATGATCTGAAAATCATAAACTTAACCTGAAGATCCATTGATAGAAAAAAAACCACCAACCCGCGCTGGGTCCGTTATCACCCTCCAATCCGCACTGGGTCCATTATCACCCACTAATCCGCGCTGGGTACGTTATCATCCACCAATCCGCACTGGGTCCGTTATCGTCACACATTCACCAGTTTAACCCCCAATTCAAGCGTGCCTAAAGAAGTTTCACTTTAAAAATCTGATATCATCCTATGTCTGTTTTCAGCGTTTTCTTGTATTATTCATAATAGATGATATACTTGCAATTCTTATTGCCCAAGCAAGCAAAGACGCACGCACACACAATATATTGTTTAATAGTAAACATAATTAATAACGCATTATCGTATTGATCCGAGGAAGAACTAGATGGAGCAGCTAGTTAGCGCATTCAGCCTGCGATCATGAAAGTTAAGCAAATTTCGCAATGGTCGGTCATTGGATGGGTGACCAAAAACCTATTAACTCGAGCTCCTCCATGCTGCAAAAGCCACGTTAATCTGTTGGTCCCGGCTGCATATGCAGTCATCAGCACCCCCCAAATCCGCTCTGGGCCCACGTGGTGGGTCATGGCTCAGTCTCCCTATGCCATCCCTCCCCTGCGTCCCAGCAGTGGGGACATTAATAGGCTGATGATGATCGTATTATTCAAAACATGTTATCACAAATACGAAAATTACCGTAACACGAGTACCAAGATAACAAACCCCGCTCCACGTTAACAGACCATTATTAAAATAGCCTACGATGCAAAATGGTGGATTAAAATGTTTCAAAATTACGTCGGAGTTTAACGCGAGAATGAAATTTAAACCTCTGAATACAAATCCGAAAGTCCGATTTAATTATCACTAATAGGATAAAGCCAGCCGATGGCGCGGAAACAAACCGAAAACTGCGGCAAATTAAAGAGTTTTGTTGCAAACCTTCAGTTGTGTAGGTGCCTACAGTGAGCAGCGCTTTCGACGCTAAGGATTATGGTTAGATTAAAGATTTAACTTCTTACTTGGAACTGACTGGCTGGCTGAAATAAAATAAACCTACTTGGAAGTTTACCGATACAAAAAAGATGCCGACACTGGCCGATAGCAAAGAATAGTTTAAAAGAAAGAAAATTCTGCGGCGGGTAAATTAAAAAAATGCGTGTGCAGTAAAATTCAAATTAATTCTAAAATAAAAAACGCTGTACAGGTAAAACACAAAAATAGAGAAAACCAAAACGTCAGTTAATTATTCCTAATTACTTGGTACGGTTACCGAATAATAATAAATTAACACTTTCTAAAATGAAAAGTTTAGAGGTTATTTTTACTTAAATACTTAATTAATACATTTAAATAAACAAGTTTTGATGAAGACAGGTATAAATGCGTTTTTAACACTTTTTTACTCTTATAATACATTTTCATACTATGAACCAAACATTCGATTTATGTAAGTAAACAAAGTTTTGTCTTGGCGGACGGATCATTAAAAAAAAACAAGCCTACTGGATAACTAAAATTCATCCATTCTATTTATTTTCACCGTCAAAATCTCTCAGGAAAATTTTAATTATACAAAGTTAATCCAAAACGATATCCCAATTCAAAACAACAGCGTTATATAGATGAGTACACCCTGTTTTCATATTCTGTCTTCGACGGCCGGACGCGTGGAACCGTTAAATGAATGAACTTTTTAACTTAAGGTCCCTAAGTTTAATACCAACTTTGAGGTTCCACCGCAATGATGAACAGCATCCTTACTTTTAATGACTTTTTGCTAATATTCCGTTACGGTGCTCGCCCGGAAAAAAGTTCGCCAACTCGTGAATACTGTGCCGTTCGATATTTAAATAGATACTTTGAATGAAGGCGTAATAAAAAGTTTGAATGCCTAAATGTTAGCGTTGACTTTCGTACTTTTTGCCTGTGGAGTTGTGGAGTTGTTGTTTTAAAAGAGACGTTTTATTTTATGCCAGCTTTCGATTTCGGTGGCTCATTTGATTGGGGTGATTTCTTAGGGGATGAAAGTTTCGAGAGTAATTTTCATAAGTTAAATTCATTTGCTTATTTCAACGGCTTTCACAGAGATGTAAATTATAATGTTTAAACGAGGTCTTAAAAACAATGAGCTTAAACTTTCATCTCAAAACACTGCGCAAGTTTCATTTGAAAAATCTTAAAGTAAAAATCCCAATAAATTAATATCACATCCACATTAACACAATTATTCGTACAAAACTGTTCATTATACCGTAAAATAATTGAACAAACAGTCAGTGGACATAATTTTATGAACACATTCTCATTGCAAACTAAAATAATACTACATTTCTCCGCACGGTGGCGTCGCGGCGTGTCACTCCTCTATTTGTTATCATTTGCATACCGACCACTGCGCTGGCTGGTAGCCTAGCGTGCTCGTCCGAACAAAGGGATTTTCATATTTAATTTTCTATTTAGTATAATTGCCGGCATATTTTCTCTCGCAGCCAAAATTTTTAAGCTTATTTGCATTCGTGAGGCTGGCCGACCCGCTTTCGTTTGTTGTTATGGAAGTGGATACTAATTGAGAATATGATTTATTATTTAATTAGCTATTTAGACTATCTGTTTATGGCATATTTGTCTAGTACAAATGTTGAGAAACTAGATTGTCTATATTTAACACTTCTAATGAAGATGATACGCCATAGACAGATATTTCAATATCGTTAGTTTTAATTACCCATTATGTCTTTTTCATATATTATTTCATCATTTTTGTGTAGTAAATAAATATATGTGTATATTTAATACACAAAAATGGTGTTTTTTTGGTTCGCTTTAAGTTTGTTAATTTATGCGGCATTTTATTTGAAAAAGGTTTATTTATGTATTTTTTATTTTTTTAAGCATTTAACTCCTTGATGTTTAAATCCAAAGGAAATTTTACTGAAAAAATGAAATACTAGAAAAAACGACAGAATTAGGGGCGAGATAGCGAAGGGTACAGGTTCGAGTCTCATCTGCTGCCTGGTCTGCATGAAGGAAAAAGTAGAAGGTTTATTTATTTCATTTCACTCTGCTAACCCATCCAACAATGTCAATATTGCTAGCGACAAGATTCTTCGAAAAATTTTATTGAAACATTGGTTTCTTCTAAAGAGATTTTCTGAGAATCTGCAGTACTATCTGCGCGCTCCTTTACAAAATAAAAATTCGCACTCATTGTGTCGTCGACGCGTGACAATAACGCATTGTACGATGTTTAGACTTTATAAATTGATAATAATTACCATGTACAGTACAATATCTGTGCTCTTCCTAAGATCTTTGATTATTGACCGACATATAGAAATTGTGGAGATAGATTATCTTCTCAGAAGACCAGCGGCAGCTATAGAGCGAGAACTGACTATTCAAAAGCGTGTTGTCTCCCTCTTTGCTATGAAGAAAAAGCTAGAGAGACTGCCGACAGATTTTAGATTCATATTGAAATGGTCCCAGTCGTTTTCCCATTACAACAATTTGATATACAAGAACGGACAGCAACCGTTCCTGGATAACAATTGCACTTTTCGCAACTGCTACTTGACTAACGATAAAGGTTTAATTACTGACGTCACATTCTTCGACGCCATCCTCTTCGATGTGGAAAACAGGTGGGACCCCCATCCAATTGAGAGGTCCCAATACCAACGCTTCGTTTTCGTCGGAGCCGAATCGGCAGCAAACTTCCCGATTTGTGCGAAAATTTATAACGACTACTACAATCTTACTTGGACTTACAAATTGGATTCTGACATAAGTAACGCATACCTAAATATTCTTGATAAAAATGGCACTATAGTTGGTCCTAAAGTTGACATGACTTGGATTAAACCAATGGCTGCTACTCCAGATGAAGTGACAGTGAAGATTGCTAAGAAAACCAAAGCTGCAGCTTGGTTCGTGTCAAACTGCAACGCGAAAAATGACAGACGTGTAATAGCAAATCATATAAGAGAAGCTCTGATGGCATATGGTTTGGATATAGATATTTACGGTTGGTGCGGTAAAATGGTATGCCCGAAGAATCAATTCAGTGAGTGCCTACAACTTCTGCAGGAGGATTATTATTTCTATTTGTCTTTTGAGAATTCAGACGCTGAAGACTATGTGACTGAAAAGCTGTTACATGCTGTAATGAACTATGCTGTGCCTATTGTGTATGGAGGTGCAAATTATTCTAGGTAAGTGGTTAGCTAAAATAGAAACAAAACCATAAGTCACAGTGTGGCCTTGGAAAGTCGTTTTTGATTTAGCAGACGAGAGACGTCTACCAATAATAATTGTAAGTAAACATCTATATGTTTTAGATTTCTCCCTCCTGGATCTTACATAAACGCTAAAGAACAGGATGCTATCAGTATAGCATTCGCCATTAACGAAGCAATGAAGAATCCCAAAGTGTATGAAAAATATTTCAGGTAAGCATTTTAAACGTTTAAAAGAACGTTTATGATTGGTATGTAGCATTGGTTTTAACGTAAAAGTACTTTTTTCAATTGGGACACAGATAAAATTCCATTTAATATGTTTTTCTACCTTTTTAGATGGCACAACTATTATTCTTACGCGAAGGCAGGTGAGAAAGCAGAAGTATGCAAACTCTGTGAGGTCCTGAACTCCCCACCCACTTTCACCGCAAAAAAGGATTTCAAGGATTGGTGGAACACAAAGGGCACTTGTAAAACTACTATTTGATAAATTAGATCCTGTTAGCAACATAGGAGGGGCCATGTTAGATAGGAAATCTAAAAGAAAATACATATTGACATTGTACCTGTTAATGTCGTCGCCTGATCATAATAATTAATTCGGCAAATCATACAATTCCGGCAGGCATATATTTCCCAAATAGACCTGCCGCGGACACTCGCTTCGCTCGTTTGACATGAATTACCCGTGGTCAAAACTCCTACCTTACCTGGATTATATTTAACTTGGCTCAAAAAATTACACCAAAGCATTTATAGTTTAATTGTTTAACAATACATTTTAAATAAAATATTTTTTTGAAAAAGATTTAAATACTGCGTGAAACTCCGTTAAGTACCTAGTTTTTAGAATCATAGCGAATAAAAGACAGACATGGGTACAGCGTGGCGTTTTGTCTGAAATATAGTCAGACACTTTATAAAACGCTTTAATCACGTGTCGCAAGACGCAAATAAATTCAGCTTGAACAGAAATGACGTTTTGTTTTAAGCTGACTAGCACTTGTCTCACCACCGACGATGAACGAGAAGCTAAAAGAGCTAGAAATAAGAAACAAGTTCGCGAGCAGCGGCAAACGAGTGTGTAGTTCCGAAAGTTTTATCGCTGGACTATAAGCAAGAGTGTGAAGACTACGGGCGACTACTCGCGCTACTCGCTCACGGAGACTCCTGAGCAAAACTTAAAGTGCACGAGCACATTTATAAACAAACGAGCATCACTGATCGAGTATTTTTTTTTATCACTCTTGTCGCTCAGCGACAAACTGGTTTAGAGAGTTCTCGCTATATATGCATTTCTTTTGTTTACAAGTAATGTATATCTATTGTACGTTTCATAAGCGAGAAAAATTACTGAGTCGCTTTCTCGCCAGCGGTGGTACAACTGCCTTACTTGCAAACGCGCGGCGGTTGCATACTTTGTGATAAATCTTTTTGGAACAAAATGAAGTTTTTTATGGGAAATGAAAGTTCATGTTAGACATCCAAGTTACATAGATTAACATATTAAAATGAAATAGATAAAATATTAAAATAAATAGCTCCATCTGTTATTTTATAATAAATCCCACAAAACTTACCCCTAAAAACCATAGAGTAGCTGCTTCCACTATTAAATGTAGGTACCTAGTCTTGTCTCGTCTTCAGCCAGGCTCAGGGAAATCCTCTTAGTGGTCGTTACTCTGCCCACTCATTATTCAAGCCCCAAATTGGAACGAGATAATTAGGGTTCTTTGACAGTGACACTTAAATAATAAATCATACTTATCGGTTCACGCAGACTTGTGAAATATCAATTTTTCCTTAGTTACCTATTTATGGATGTAAGTATAAAGCCACTAAGAAAGCATTAGCCTTCTAGAATTAGCATTAGAAAATTAGCATTGCTCTCATTGACAATATTGCCAATAACAAAAGCCAGTCGCTAACCACTAAGGCCCCGTTGTTTGATAATTAGTTAAATTTGAATATTCGTCAATATCCCGCCATATACTTAGTAAAATGTGTCAAATTTTAACAAATGGTTACTTTTTCTATAGTATTTTAACTTAACTATGGATGAAACAACGCGGCCTTAGGATATTTAACTAACTAACATTTAAAGACCTTGTTCCGCTATATTTTTTGATTACTTAAAATACAGTAAAAACCCGTTTAAGACGATTTCACAGGGACCAACCAAAAACGCGTCTTGAGCGGGAAAGCGTATTATGCGGGATTGTGGGATAGGGATGTATGTATTGAGGTATAAAATGTACAATATTTAAGAATTATGTACCTATGCTATAAAAAATGTGTATTATTATTTATTATTACGTTATTTAAATTAATCACTTATTTTAGTTTGTCAAGAAGATTTTGAGGCATTAGCAATTACAAGATTTTCAACATAACTTAACTTTTGCAGTGCGTCTACGCTTTGATTCAAAGAAATTACATAGCATCTTAAATCATTAACTGCTGATAATGCCTGGGCGTGTACAAAATTGGAGTTGACCCATTTAATATCTTCTTGTCTTCTTGATCATTATCACTTAAGGCCTCTTCTTGTGTGTTATTCACATTTTCATTGAATTTTATGCTGCTTCAAGAGGTAATACGTGTGGTACATATTGGCGATTTGGGCGTATTAAACGGGATGACGAATCGTATTAAGCGTTAAGAAATGTATGAAAACATGTCTCAAGTTGCAGGGACTTACGCAAAATGGCGTACTATACGAGGAATCGTATTAAGCGTGATCGTATTAAACGAGTTCCACTGTATTATATTAAATAAAAACTGTACTTACCTACTACTCAAGAGATAAAAAAAATATTTTTATGAACAGTCCACCACAGATCGAGATGTCCAAACTGGTTCTTTTTTTTTAAATGCCTGAGTTGTATCCCACTTGACATCATCCGCGTTGTCGATAGAAAATTCCAAAATTTGTATTGTTTTATATATGAGTTCATAGCATATGACTTTAGGTAAGATAGTGTTGTATTGTATATGTAATATCATTGGTTGTAACTAACCAAAAGTTATCTATTATATTTTATTTTAAGCATTAAACTGCTAAAAATTATTTTCTACAAAAATTTTGTCTTGCAGCCTAAGAAATACTAGAAGAAATTCGACACGGCACAGTAGCATAATTAGTCAATGCAACCGCCCGGATAGCAGATGGTGCGGATTCGAGTCCCGTCCGATACCTGGACTGTGTGGAACTTTTTCTAAGAAAAAAATTCTTTAGATCTAAAATCATCTGATATGAACTCATTAAAACTAACTAGTTTTAAATGACACAAGCGCACGTTAGAAAAACAATGAATTATATATTCGTTGACTCGTGTCGGTACACCGACTTGCGTTAAAGTACAACATGGGTACTTACAAAGTTACCAACTTACTCACTTAACATAAGTTCTGAGCGTGAGACGTCGCAAATATGTACTGTTTGTAGACATACCTACTAAAAGTTTATATTTTCATAATAAACAATGATATTATATTCATGAAAAAGCGTAACACCACAATACTATGCATACCTACTATACCTAAGCATTACTTTAAATGCATATGACGTGCCTAAGGAAATCTGATAAGAATTAATTTTTTTTATAATATGTTACCACACAGTATTGTTAATCTACCTCTTCATAAACTAAAAACTCATGTGAAATATACTGTGATGAGCAAAAAATATTATCGAATCCAAGATTACATTAAACGACATTGATACGAGATGTCACTTCTATATATGTATGTATATATATACTAGAACAATGAATCTAAAACTAAAAACCTTTAAAAATATAATCTTATAACTAAAATATATTATCAAAAGGAGTTAATTTAGGCAAGGTTCCGAAGATACTGGCAGCGTTCCCCCTTTGAAATTAATTATAATTAAAAAATTTAATTACACATCCGATTTTGTTTCATTAACTGATACATTGCCGCCATCACTATCCCAAGCACGAGTAACTAGCGAGAAAGTATTCGTGTCGTCATGATACATTTTCTATGGAAAAAGGTAGTTTGTTCTTATATCCGGTAGGGGGCTCTGCTCAGTTTCCATATAAATTTTGAAGATGGCGATACGAATACGATATGGGAAAGTTCGTGCTTGGGGTTGGTGCTGAATGAGCAGCTAATTGGATACCTTTTATTTTTTTTCGATGACGGGGAGTAAAAATGCATTATATCCACGATATTGACCAACGCCGCGTTGGTTTGCTGTCAACAAACTCTCGCGACGCAAGTAATTGCATGGTGCATTCGGCAAGCGGCAAGCAGCCTGAGTGCCGCTAGTCGGTGCTGGTATACTTTGACGTGCACACGCACGCAAGCGTGGCATACGTCAAACCACCCCGTCTCCGACCACCGGTAGCCCGGTCCGCACCCGCTTTAGCCGATCCTGGGCTTCTCCGTTCACAGCGTCACCTGCTAGATTATTCAATATACGTCGTCATTAGTTTGAAGCCTAAAAATGCCGTGTGAAAACTAATATACCGCTTTTTTACGCACAAACTTCATAAAAATATAATTAATACGTTCTATAAATCCTTCTCTCACGAAGTCAATCAGGCCCTTATCGCTGTAGATGTCCCCAACTGGGGTTTTTTTAGTTCACAAAAATCTGACATAACCTTGCTGCCGGCTGTAGGGATTATGTATCCATGAGGATTTCACACCAGCTCCCCTGCTGAGGAAAAAAAAGTTCTATATAATTAAAAATCCCACTGACACCACAAATATTAAAGCTTTGGCGACGGAGTGTAGGAGATAAAATATCTCTGATTGGGGTGCATATGAGTTAAGGTGTAGTCAGGACAAATCGGTAAATATCATCCAAATATTTCAATACCATAATACCTTATATTTTATGGTTTTAATACGGTAACATTAATGTTTTCATATCTATTTTATCCCGACGTTTTAATCAGGGGTTCAATCGCCTAGCGGGATTACTAAGGCTATCGCTATCGCTTACGATTGCATTTTGTTATTTCAAACCGCCGAAGGTTCGCTCATTTTCTTTAACATTTTTATTACCAATGGGAAAGAAAAAAAAGAACGTGAGGCATTTAAAAACCTTCCGTGGTCAGAAATAACAAAATGAAATCGTAAGCGATAGCCATAGCAATCCCATTAGGGGATTGACCCCCAGGTTGCATTGACCGTGATCACGGCTGGGCTTGTCAGGGAAAACCAAAAGTATTTCATCGTATTTGTAGATCCTAACGGAGACATGTATAGTTATCGCAGAACTTCATAGCAATCCATAGATTCACCATGCGGATGCCGGGTCCATCGTGTGAAAGACATAAAACTTCTGGGCAGTTCCCGGGACTTGCGACCCAAGTGTAGGTTTAAGGAAAAGAGGCCCCTTTGAGATGCGCATCAACGCTCACCTTCACTGCTCCAGTTGCCCGCCCTTCCTAGCCCAGTTTGATAGGAGCCTGTTAGTGCAGCCTTAGTTACTTGTTCCTAAATTTAACTTACTGCAGTTCTCGACAGGCAAAGGTCTTTTAGGAGGTTATAGAGATTTTATTCTGGTATACCTCTCGCTCCTACACCCAAAAAAATGTGAAAATAGCTTCTTAAGTATTATTACCTCTATAGATTTTGCTATAGCAGTGAATACACATACACTTTGAATATCGTTCGAACTACAACGTAATCAATCAAAAACTTTATCAATCTTTAATTGTCACTAATGACAAAATACACTACCGCTGAATATAATACGTATAATATTACGTGTTAACCAATAGTTTGTTTATCTCTCAGTCTCGATCATGTTTAATTATATCTTTAAATAATAGATAAAATTACAAATGTTTTGGAATAATATTTGAATATAGTT